CCTCACAAGGAACCCAATACTCTCTCTCCTCCCCATGATCTGTCACTCTTCTAAAAGGTAGTCCGTTGAGTCCCATTCTTTTGGGCCATAAATTCTTCTATTAGGATGCAACCCCCACCCCCGAAAGAGTGATATCTGAGTCATTCACGATGTGACATCATCTTAGAGTTGCTCAGAGCCAGTCACTAAGACATGGGAGTTTTAAAGAAGGAAATTCCCTAACCTCCTCCAGACTGCACTAGCCATTTTACCCAGAACTATCTCTCCCTGTGTGACTGCTCTGAATTCTCTCCTTTCTATTAGAGGCACCATGAGCTCCCAGAGCCAAGGATCCCTCTTCTTTCTGGAACTCCAGAGCCCAACACAGAACCAGGCCAATGCAGGAGGACTGCCAGCATAGGGCAGCAGATGCAGGTGTGGGCTATGTTTGGGAGAGGCAGCAAAATCAAGGAGGCCAAGGAGGCCAAGAACAAACAAACCTCCAGGAGGTGGTGGCTCTGCCCATTGTTTGCCCAATCCATGTATATCTCCCGGTCCCAAGTCATGCTCAACTTTTGAGCCTGGCCTTTGAGGCCCTGGGATGATGCCTGCAGCCAACCCTGCCCATTGATGGAGAAAAGTCCAGGAAAGTGTGGAGGGTCCTGGGCACTGGTGATGCTTATCTGACAAAACAGAGATGCTGGAGGCCCATCCTCAGCCCCTAGTGCCCAAGCATCCCTTTCAAAATCCCCCAACAACCCAGCAGGTACCTACCCACACCTAACTCTCCCATACCCCACCACTGACACTTATCCTAGCCTGGGCTCCCTAACCTTCACCCCAACCCCTGGCCCTGATCCTCGGTCCTTTCTGCTTTAAAACCAATTATTTTGTTTTTTAACTACATTTCTTTTTTGTAATTTTATTTATTTATGTTTCCCCCAAAGCCCCAGTAGATAGTTGTATGTCATAGTTGCACATCCTTCTAGTTGCTGTATGTGGGACGCGGCCTCAGCATGGCCGGAGAAGCGGTGCATCGGTGCGCGCCCGGGATCCGAACCCAGGCCGCCAGCAGCGGAGCGTGCGCACTTAACCGCTAAGCCACGGGTCCTGCCCTACATTTCTTTTTTGGATTACAAAAAGGATACAGAATTTTCATGGAGAATTCAGAACACGTAGGAGAACTTGAAAGAAGAACTCAGCCCCTGTGGAGCAGCCATGGTCACTGGTGGGTGGGCAGCCCTCAGTGGCTCTCTCCAAGAACATGCATCATGCAGAGCTTCAGCTGTACACTAAAGGGTCGCTTTGCAGGCTGTGCTTGGCCTGGCAGAGGCTGAGCTTGGTCTCCCCATGCCCCACCCTCCATCCTGCCCCCCACTGCTCCTATACTGGGCTCACCTGGGCACCCTGGAGTTCCAGGCCTGGGAGCAACAGAGTGTACAGCAGGGCCCCAGGTGTGACTGTTTCCGGCACCTGAATGATTTCCCCAGCTGGCCAGAGGGGAGGTCAGGGAGGCTCTGTTCAGGCCATACCTGGCCACCCCCTGCCTGCTACCCCTGGCCTTACGTGGGCTGGCAAATCGGCCAGCACACTGGATATGGCCAGGGTCCCGCTGCACATCCACAGAGAGCAGTCTCTCCATCACATGGTTGCCACATGTGAACCGCAGCTGGAGCTCATAGTGGTTCACCACCAGGGCATCCAGCCGGGCCGAGGTGCTCAAGGTCACCTGTGGCAGGTGGGCAGTGCCATGTGGGGCCTAGGCTCTCCATCCCCCTACACCACCTCTGGCTTTGTTAATTTAGGTTCTGCCCTTGTTTCCCCATGGTCCGCAGCTGTGCCCATGACCCTACCTCATCCACATAGATCTCCTGCCACCTGGTCAAGCTGGGTGGGTTGAAGAAGGTGGTGGATGGCTGCACATGGAGCAACTCCAGGGTGGGCATGTGAGAAGAGCAGTTGAAGGGGGAAGACAGAAGGATGGTACCAGGTCCCTGGCTCTCAGAGACTTTTATGAACCAGGGCAGGCAGTGGAAGTCCGTAAGGAAGAGATGATTCAGGCTGGAGGCCCCCCATGCTCATAGAACCACACACATGAGCATAGTCCTGCCCTTCTGCCCATCTTGGGGCCAAGCAGCCAAAGCACTTCCTTGTCCCCCACGTCCAACCATGGGTCAGCTCATTTCACAGATTGGGAGTGAGGATTTGGTTGAGGAAGCAGCCAAGATAAGGAATGCGGGTCAGGGTTCAGATCTTTGCCCTTTCCTGGCTCTCTTCCAGACCCTGCCCTCCATGATAGCTTATCTGAGAAGGGTCAGGTCTCTACCCCACTGTGGAGTGGGGGGAGGGAGGTGAGAACTGGAGTTTCCCCCACCTACCAGCTCCTCACCAGAGACAACCAGAGCAAGAAGAAGCGCCAGGGCCCTCAGCAGCACCATAGTGGCCTGAAGATACAAACAGCAGAGGAGACTCTGGAAGGCCAGACATGTTTGTCAGGCCCACCCAGTTGCCAGGTCAATTGCTCAAACACAGCTGGGCAGGTGGGACTCCTGGGCCTACCAGATTTTAGCTCCGCCCATCCCTAGTGACAGCTCTAGGCTTCAGACAGGCATCAAGAGGCCTGGAAAACCCCATTTTTTCACTGCTCCCAATGAATTCCCCCATTCATTACTATAACCTTAAGGAGATGTGAAGAGAGAAGAATCAAGCTTCAGATGGGGAAACTGAGGCTCAGAGAAGTCTTGGTCATGCAGTCCTTGGAGACAGAGCAAGCACAGCACCAGGAAAATTGGGCCCAGGACCTGCTACCCCATAAAGTCCAAACTCTAGCTTCCCACTCCCCCATTAGAATATTATCTACTTATAAAATATGTGTCCAACCATCAACAAAATCTCTCAAAAATTGTCTACATTCAACAAGCAAAAGGAATCCTTGGTGACAGAAATCAAAATAGTGGTTATCTTTGGGGATATCAACTGGAGGGGGCACAAAGTGGCCTCCTGGAGCAGCTGGAGATATTCCATACAGTATCTTGATCTGGGTGACAGCTGCACAAGTGTCTACAGATTTTAACACTTATTGAGCTGTACCTTTGAGAGTTGACAATCATTGTATTTATGTTATATGTCAATTTTTAAGAAGTTGTCTACACTTACTCTCTCCAGTTCTTTACCTCTCACTTTCTCTTCCACCCACTGCAGTCAAGCTTATTCCTCTCTCCATGAAACTGCCCTTGTCAGAGTCCTCAGAGACCAGCATACTGCCCAATTCAGCAGTGCATTCTCCACTCTCACCTCCTCAGTGGTATTTGATGCTTGTTCCCCTTGGCTCCTAAGTGCCCACACTCTCTCCGTTTCCTCCCACCTCCCTGGCTGCTCCTGCTCAGCTCCTTTGCTGGTTCTGCTACAACTTCCCTACCTCTAGCCGGTGCAATGTTCCAGGGCTCAGTCCTGACTGCTGCCTTCCTCTGTCTAAACTCACCTCCCCCGTCACATCCAGGAGCATGGTCTTAAATAACATCCACTCGCTTTGCCTCCAAGATCCAAGGCTTCAGTGCTGATCTCTCTCCCAAACTCCAGAGTCACACATCCAGTGGCTAACCCCGCATCTCCTCTTGGATGTCTAACAGGCATCACAAGGGTCACATGTCCACAAATGATCACTTGATTTTCCTCCCCAAATCCACTCTTTTCCAGTCTTTCATGGACCAATTCATGGCAATTCCATCAGACCAGTTGTTCAGGCCAGAAATCTAGGAGCTGTGCTTGATGCTTTCCTTTCCCTACCCATATTCATGCATCAGCAAGGCTTGATTTTTAGCTCCAAAACATACCCCAAAGTGACCCCCTTCTGTTCACCAGCCCCACCCAGGCCCAGGCCCTCCCCTCCCTTGCTGGATGAGGGCAGGAGCCTCCACTCTGATTACAGAGTAGTTCTCCTAAAGCAGCTGGGATTATCTCAACAGGAGGCAGCCCAGGTAATTCCCTGCTCAAAAGCCCCCAGTGCTCCCCCTCACACTAAGAACAAAACCCCATATTCCTTTCTAAGGCTGCTAGGAGCCTGGTTTTGCTGACCTCTTCACTCCCCCAATTATTATTATTTTTTTTGTGAGGAAGATCAGCCCTGAGCTAACATCCATGCCAGTCCTCCTCTTTTTGCTGAGGAAGACCGGCCCTGAGCTAACAACTATTGCCAATCCTCCTCCTTTTTTCCCCTTTTTCTCCCCAAGGTGCCAGTAGATAGTTGTATGTCATAGTTGCACATCCTTCTAGTTGCTGTATGTGAGATGCTGCCTCAGCATGGCCGTACAAGCGGTGCGTCAGGGTGCGCCCCCAGGGATCCAAACCCCGGCCCCTAGTAGCGGAGCGTGGGCACCTAACCCCTAAGCCAGGGGGCCACCACTCTCCCAATTATTATCATCGTAAACACCTGGGCCTTCTTTAGGTTAAGCCCTGTCCAGTTCCTGTCCTTTCAGGGCCTTTAACTGGTTGATGCCTCTGCCTAGAATGCCCCTCTTCTTGATCTCCCCATGATGGGTCATCCAGATCCCATGCAGAATGCCACATCCTCTGAGAGTCCCTTCTCCCAAACTAGCCCATCACCCTTATTCCCCCGTATTTTTCTGTCTACTGACTTGTCTAGTCTGTCTCCAGTTAGACTGTATCCTTGAACCTAGCCTCCGATCGTGGAGCGGCCTCAGGGAACAGGCTCTGACCATTCCGGCCAGAGAACGCCGCTCTAACACCCTGCACTCAGGGGGCCTGTGGTGCCTGGCAGAGGGGATGCGGATGCCGCCGCGGCAATCGCGGCTAACCGCGCGCTCCCCACTAGAGGGCGGCCCCGCCTAGTTCGGCCCAGACTCGGGGTGGAGAGGGCGTGGGCTGGGCCTTGGCTGAGGCCTCTCTCCTGTGCAGCAGCGAGGTGCCTCGCGGCTGGAGTCCTCAGAAGGGCTGGATCCCTCGCGTCACTTCCAGGGATTGTCGAGGCCGGCTCCAGGAGCGGATTCAGTGTGTCGGCGACGAGTGGGCCACAGCACTACCGGGTCCGAAGACTGGGGGCGCTCTGCCCGCACTTGGGCGCAGCCAGGGTACCCGCGCGCTCGCGGGGCCCCTGCGGGAGGGGCCGCATTTCTATCCTGGGAAAAATAGGGAAGCTGAGGCTACCGCAGGGAAGCGACTTGTCCTGAGTCATGCTGCGAACCCAGAGTCAGTTCAACCGCCCGGGGCGTCGGGGAGTCCGGGGCCGGACCCCGCCAGGCTTCCCGCTACAGTCCCGCCCCTCCCCCCAGAGCTGGAGCCGAGTGAGGAACCGGCGTTGGGCTCTCCCACCCTGCGGGTCCCGAGGGGCGGGGCCACCTTAGCCCCGCCCCGGCCCTATTGGCCGCGGCGCCAGGGGCGCGGCGCGGCTGCCAGATGTTGGGGCGGCGGCGGCGGCGGGAGCTACGGAGCTCACGGAGCGGCGGAGCAAGGCGGAGGGCAGGGCGCCGCTGGCCGGCCAGCCAGGCCCTCTCCGCGCCGCTCCCGCCGGAGTTCCAAGAACGGGCAGGCCTGGCGGGGGCTCCGGCACAGGCATGCACAGCGCTCGGCTTGACAGCTTCCTGAGCCAGCTCCGCTGGGAACTGGTGAGGCTGGGGAGCGGTTGTGGCTCGTGAGGACGTGTGTACGGTGCTCGGCTGCCGTCCGGCCGGAACGACACACGGGTGGGGGGCCGTCCCGAGTGCCTATCCAAGGCAGGATGAGGGCGGGGCGGTGCAAATGGCCCAGATGGCCCGCGTCGGGTTTCGGACGCTTGGGAGCTGCGCTGGGCATCAAGTAACAGCCGCCCAGCTGGCCATGCTGCCGGGGCGGCGGAGGGAGTTGCGGGGGAGAAACTTCTTTTGGCCCGGAGCAGGGGGCTGCGAGGAACTAAAGAAGTGCTGGCGCTGCCCCCTACCTCAGGCTGTCCTGTACCTCCTTTCTTTACCCCTCACCTGGCAAGTGCTCCGTCCTTCTCTGAAAGACTCTGTGGGCTTTGGGGAGCCGAATCCCTCAAGAGGCACGGGATGCCCCCCCAGCCCTGAGTAGGACCTACTTCCCCATGCATGCCCGCAACCCTGCCTTCCACCCTGGTGGCCGGTACCGACTTGCCCGGCTCTGCATGCTGCAGCCTGCCAGACTGCCACCAGGTCGGCTTATGGGAGCCACACGAGCTTCGTGTGCCAGCACCCCCGTGCCAGCCCTGTGCACACTAGAGGCCTTGCTGCCCAGGCCTGCAGGCCTATCCAGCCCTCCTGGGCCTTCTGTTTGGGGATTGGGCTTGCCAGGCAGGCAGAGGTGACAAGCACTGCCCCTCCCACTTCTGCCCTCTCTTTCTCTGCAGCTGTGTGGCCGGGACACAGGCTCACCCCCAATGCCTGGCCCTCTTCTGCCACCCCCCAAACGTGGCCCAGGTGTGCAGCTCAAGGCCTCAGATGGCTTGGAAGAGAACTTGGTCTGTTGTGTGGAAGAAGAGGAAGAAGAAGCTGTGGTGACACGAGGCAGGAGTGTAGCCTTGGGGGGCCCCAGGGAGCATGCCCTAGACTGGGACTCTGGCTTCTCGGAGGTGTCAGGCAGCACATGGAGAGAGGAAGAGCTGCCCATACTCCAGCACCCAGCACCCCCAGCATGGCCCCCCCATAGACAGAGCCTCTCGGCCAGTGGCATGCCCCTGCCCAGAGGGGCCCCTGTGGCCAGTGCACCACCTGCTCACCGACCACGGCCCAAGTCCACCCCAGACACCTGCCTGGAGCATTGGCGGGGGCTGGAAGCTGAGGACTGGACAGCAGCATTGCTGAGCAGAGGTCGCAGCCGCCAGCCCCTCGTGCTGGGGGACAACTGCTTTGCTGACTTGGTGCACAACTGGATGGAGCTGCCTGAGGCAGTGGGTGAGGAAGACGATGCGGGTGGGCCCCGTGCCCGTGCTCGGCCCCCCCAGTTCCTGCTTGGCCTCTCTGAGCAGCTGCGGCGCCAGCTGGCCAGGGCACGCCGGGCAGCCATGGCGGGAAAGCGACTGTCATGCCCACCTCGCTCAGAACCCGAACTGCCAGCAGATGTCTCACGCTTTGCAGCCCTCATGAGCTGCCGCAGTCGCCAGCCCATCATCTGCAGTGATGTCATCAGCTACCTCTGACCCTGCCCTCCAGCCTGGGACAATAAAGACCTTTCTTTGGACTGTCCTGGTTCCATAGCCCTGAGGCTCCAGGAGGCGGCCCCAGCCCTGTAAGGCACAGCCCAGGCAGGCGAATCTAAAGAGCCTTTTCCCTCCCTGCAGGGGTCCCTGTCATGCTTATGTCACACCCATGTGCCTGCCCCATGTTCCATCATCCATCCTCTCCACTTACGCCTTCTTTCAGCCAGCATTTATTGAGTGCTTACTGTGGACTCAGGATGCAGGGCTTGAAAGAGCTGGGTGATGGGGCTGCTGCTTGTCACAGCTCGTAGTGCAGGGGTGGGAAGGTCATGTCCTCCTCCTCACCCTCACAGCTGAGCTCCAGTACCAGCACCTGCTGCCTAGGCTTAGGCACTCGGCCTGTCACCTGCTGCACCAGTTCTGTCACCCTGGTGGCATAGGGGGGAGGGAGGTTGAGGAAGACTGAGTAGGTGAGTAGTGGCAGGCAGAAGTGACTTGGCATGGACTAGAGGGTGCTGATGGTCCATAAGGAGCCCAAGCCGGGAGCAGGAGCAGCTCAAGACAGGAAACATCTGAAACTATTTTAGGAGCTGCTGGCGGGGCAGGCAGGAGGCAGGAAGCTGCAAGTCCCCTGGGAGTGGGCTGTGAAAGGGGGGCTGAGCAGGGCATGGAGGAGCTGGTGGGGCTGGCCAAGCAGGCAGCTCCTGGAGGCCCCTCCTCAGGCTCTCAGCCCTTGCCCCACCCCCAGCCCTTTTGCTGGCTCCATTTGGCAAAAGAAAACTTCAGGAAGGTGTGAGGGGCCCAAATGGGGTTGGGAAGAGGAAAGGCTGCATGTCCTCCACCTCCACCTCCAACTTCCAGGGACAGAAGGAGGCCTGGCTAAAGCCAGGTGTGGGCTCACCTGAGGGGCAGGTGCTGGGCCTGCTTTTCAGGCGACCATCCTGCTGAGTAGAGCAGGGCCCGGCCGTGCAGCAGCATCCTCACCCTCAGCCCATGTTGTTCCTAGAGAAAGACAGGTCAGGTGCCAGCTAGGCCAGGCTGGGCCAGGCCTGGGGGCAGGGCAGGAAGGGGGCACACCTGGAGATGGGCCAGCAACGACTCTAGGTTTCTCTCGGGCTGCCCAGCAGGCACCTTCAGGCGGTGCCAACAGGTCCACTTCAGGTGATGGAACTGGAGGATGGTGGTGGGGAGGAGTGAGAGCTTCTCACACACACACCCTCCCCCCTACTCCAGTTACTAGCCGCTGACGGCCCCTTTCCTAGGGGAGGAGCTGGACTAGAGGCAGGAAGCAGAAGCTAGGGGGTGGGGGTGGAAGGTGGGATCTGGGCCCAGAGTCTCAACACCCTCCCCGCCCATGCTGGGGCCAGCACAGGAAATGGGGCTATGGGGCCCCAAACAGGGAAATAGGCAATCCATCACACAGGCTGGTTGCGGAACAGGCTGGTTGCGGAGGCCGGCGGTGGGGGGGGGGGGGGGGGCCACAGTGCTTCCTGAGGAAGCAAGAGCAGGGCCACTGCAGTCACCGATAAAGCTGCTTGTTCTTCAAATGCAAGGCTGGGAGCTGGGGGGTACATCCTTTTCCCTCATCCTGTACTGCCAGGGCCTTGGACTACTCATGGGCACACATGGGCATTGGGCACAGTGACCACTGGGACCCCACTGGCTCACAGACCCCAGTAGGGACACAGTCCATAGAGGCTTCCTCTTCCTGTCCCCTCTTTCCTTCCCTGTTTCAAGAGTCTTGGGCTTCTGGTGCCCAGAGCTGAGGGCAGAAGGGATGCAGGCAGCCAGGGGCCAGGACAGGAGGGCCCTGCCAGCCCCCTAGAAAACACAGTGGGGTCAAGCTGAGACAAGGCCAGAGGTGAGATGGGGGGATCCTTCCCCTCCCCATCTCCCTCCACCATGGACAAAGGCAGCTTGTGTTCTAGCTAGAGGCAGGGCCCCTCACAAAGGGGCTCTGTGTGCTGTGTCCTCAGGGACCCCAGGGCTGCTCAGCAAAAGCCCAGTGCTGGCCCATGACCTCTCCCCTCTCCCCTGGTGAGGGCATTCTCTTTACCCCCTCTCCTGTGCCCTAAGGAAATGCCAACTACTGCAGAGCCTGGGCACACAGCCAGAGGCATTCACAGCCCTGCACTTGAAGGAACACACATGCACACAAGCCCAGGAATGCCCGCATGTGTACTCACATATATACCCATGCAATCCCACATTGAAGGGCCCTGCACTCCCATCTGGCACACAGATGTGCAAGCATTCTCCCTCCATGCCCACACACCACAGGGCTAAGAATGCCCAGACCCTCCTGCACTCACACCTGTGACACAAACGCACACATCCCCACAGGGCTGTAGACCCCACACCTGTGGTGGTGAGCTCAGTGCTCTTTAATTCAGCTTGGAGGGGCCGCCTAGGATCCCCACACCATGCAGGCGGAAGTTAGGCTGTCTTTGGGGATAGGGCCCTAGTGCCCCCTCCCTACCACCTCCCACTCAGGGGCACTCCTGGGAAGGAGCGGGCTGTGGGGGATGTCTGGCTCCACTAATGAGTTAAAGCTGCAGCTCCCCCAGACCCAGGCAGCTGTGGGTTGGGGGTGGGGCACTGGGGATGGCTGACAGCTGCTTCCTGTGTCTGACAGGTCTCAGCCTGGCTTCGCAGCAGGAAGGGGGCTAAAGGGAGTCTTGAGGACTCCCCCAGAGTCTAGGTCCCGGTGAGAGTCCGAAGCCAGAGTAGGGCCTCTTTCGGTATATGCAGGCAAAACCCAGGCCTGGTGTGGGTGGGATATCAAGCACTCACCATCTGGATGTCTGGGGCGCGAGGCACCCAGCGGCTGAAGCGGTTTTCAGCCAGATGCAGATGGCTGTGGCGAAAGGCACCGAGGGACCGTGCCCCGCCCACCACCTTATACAGTTCCAGGACCACCAGGCCTGCCACAACTGCTGTAGTGGTAGCAATGGCTGGGATAATCCGGCCCACGATTTGCTTGCTCTGCCAAGAACAGGAGATTTGGTCTGGGCCCAAAGTGTAGGGCTAGGGTTTGACCCCCACCTCCAGGCCTGAGCCCCAAGGGGCGGGGTTACCTGGATGCGGTTGGCCGGTAGGATCCCATAGTTCTGAGCTTGCAGGCTTGCTGCTGCCACCACAAAGTCCATATGGAAGTTGCTGTCATTGTCCTGTGAGGCCCAAGTCACAGTAGTGTTAACACTGCCCCAGTGCCCCTCACCATGGCCGATCATGTGCCACTGCACAGGTCTGTGGGGTAGATGCTCACATCTCCCCACTTATCAGATAAGGAGACTGAGGCTCTGGGAAGGTAAGCTGCTTCTAGGGTCCTGCTGGGAGGAGAACTCAGCCCAAAGGGCCTCAAAGCTACCTTTTTAGCTCTTGACCTTCCCCAACAACCTCCCCAGTCCGGCCATTCACCTCTATTAGGGCTCCTACCTTCTCAAACATCAGGGGCTGCAGGGGAGGGCCCACACTCCAGACTTCCAGGGCTTCATGCAGTTTCTTCAACTGCTCAGGGCCTGTCAGAGGAAGGGGGTGTTGGGGCAGGCCCTAGTCCCCATCTCCTGCACTCTTCCTGGTGCCTATCCTTGTTCTCTGCCAAGCCTACTTACTACCCTTGATTGATGCTGCAATCTTCTCCCCAGCAGCCCAGGCCCTCCCCACTGTGTGTGTGTCGGCACACACGCACATGTGCACCTTTGTGACTGTCCTCACCTGGGGGCCATAGCTAGGTGCTCCCCAGGGCCCAATGGTTTGTGTGGTTTTTTTTCCTGAGAATCTGCCAAGGGAACAGGGGTTGGGGGGGAGGAGACAGGCAGCAGGGAGAGGGCCTACCAAGGGGCCAGAGGATAAGCCCAAGCCTAGAGAGAAGCAAGGTCAGAGGGTGGGTCTGTCCACCTTGCAGCTCCGAGGTAGATACTTCTGGTTGTTCACTGGGACCTCACCAAACTCAGCAGAAGCCAGATCCAGATCCAGGTCATTAACAAAGTTGGGGGCCAGGTGCTGAGGGTCAGGCAGTGGCAGAAACTTTAGCAGTCCCCTGAGCACAGTCCGGTCCTGTGAGCCAGGCAGCCCATGCATCTGGGCATACAGGTTGGCAGCCACCAGCACATAGAGGAGGTGCGTGTCCTGCAGTCAGACCAAGAGCAGGGGCAGACGCATGGCTGCGAGTGAGCATGTACAGGTGCATGAAGTGGGGGTTACCACCCATTTGTGAATTTGTTTGAGTGCCTGCCTCTACCTCACATATGGACACCCACATGTGCATGAACATGCCTCTCTTTCTCAGCATCTGTGCATCTCTGCAGAATGCAGAGGTTCACACCTCTGCACTGAGGAGCCACATTCCCATCTCGGGGCTCCCAAGGGACCCTACTCACTTGGCTGGCGTCAAACTCCAAGGGCTGGGGACACCGTTTAGGACCTGACCAGAAAAGAGTTCCATCCTCAAGCACCTAGGGAAACAGAGACTGCTGGACTCAGTCTGCTCCTCCTGAGCCCTCAGCCTCCTGATCCCTAGCCACCCACTTTATCAGGTGGGAAGTGCTTCAGCAGCTGCATGATGCCATCATGGAAGCATAGTTGCCAGTGGCCAAGGGCCCACACCACACAGTCTTGCCAGGTCTGTGGACGCTCTCTCAGGACACCCAGTACCCCCTGCAGCAGAGTCAGCACCTGTGGCCCATCCGTATCTGCCAGAGAAGTGGGTGCCCTGTGGAGAGAGGAGGAAGTTTGAGGCGAAGCCCTGAAGAGTCTGGTGCTAGGGACTGGACTTCCATCCACCCCTATTGGTGGCCTTACTGTTGGTGGCGGTTGATGGTCTTAGCAGACAGATAGAAGAGCCCCTCAAACTCATCCCGGGCCCACTGTGGGGGAGGGAGGAACCATGAGGTGTCACGTGGGGAACAGGTCTGCAGCTGAGGACTGAGCAGGGTCAGGGGGCGGTCTCCTGGGTGCTTCCCACCTGTAAGGTGTGCTCAACTGTGCTGGGGAAGTGTCGCACGGTGCAGACAGGGTAGGGGGCATCCTCCGAAGCTGTAGCTGAGGCAGGGGCTCTGTAGACATCAGTCACATATGGCATGAACACTGAAGCACTGCCCCAGGTGCCCTGTGTGGCTGCTTCCAGCAGCGGCTTCAGATAGTGGGTGCAGCGAGCAGCCACATAGCGTCCTGGCAAGGGGGCAGAGGGTCAAGAGTGGGGCTGGCACAGCTTTGGACAAGGGACTGAGTTCCAAGATTGTGCACTCACGGGCCTGGAAACTGTCCAGGGCAGCAGCCACGCCATCCATACGGGAGAAGAAGTTCTCCTCATATATATTCTCTGTACTGGGATCCAGCGGGTTGGTGAAGGCTGTCACCCGCAAGTCTGAGTTTAGGCGGTGAGCGGCCTTTGCAGCCACCTCTGCCTTGGGCCTCTGAGAAGAAAGCAGGAAGACATTGGGTGGGTGGGGGCATTGTGGGAGGACAGTCCAGGACACATGGGTATGGGGAGAGGCTGGCACTCACACCAATGTCCTGGGGCCTGAAGAGGAACTGACGGCTGAGGTTAGAGCGCTCTATGTAGTCCATGTCAGCCACAGTCACGCCCCCACTGCCCTGGGTCCCCAGGCCCACTAGGGCGAAGCCTTTGAGCAGCTCACAGCCGATAGCACCAGCACCCACCTGCCGGCAGGAGCAGCCTTAGCCAGAGGGCCTGGCCTAGCCCTCCCACAGATACTCCCAACCTCACCACACAGCTCACCAGGAGGTAATGCTGGTGGCTCAGCGTCTTCTGAAAACCAGCCCCAAACACTGCGATTTGCCCGTCGTACCGGCATCGTCTCTAGGTGACACAAACAGGGGTCAGTGATGGCCACTGGTCTGTGCTGCATGTCCCTCTTACAGAGTTTTCCAGGTCTGGATCTTGGGACTGTTCCTCCTGTTTCTCCCCTAATCCTGAGTTTGGATAAGGCTTATACCCCTACCCCAGGTTCTCACCGGTGCACAGTCCTCGGGATTGGGAAGGGGCTTCTCATGTTCCAGAAGACAATCAAGGGCATCAAAGTACAGCCACTGATCCAGGGGCATGAACTTCCCGGAGACTGCCTAGACGCCAGCACTTTAGTTTAGGGACTCCTGCCACCTCCCAACCCCCTCAGATCCTGGCTGGGGGCTGCACCCAGGTTGGTGAAGCCTCCAGGGCCATTGTCTGGTGTTGGGCACCCTTTGGCACCCATACTGACTTCTGCTCCCTTCCCAGCCCCACTCTGCCTGTGCCTGTGCCCACCTTCAGCACTTCCTGGGCAGCCACTGCACCCAGTATGGCTGCCATGGGACTCAAGCCACCAGAACTACTCAGGGCGACTGTCCGCACTAGAGCCTCATCCAGCGGCTCTTCCAATGTCTCTCCCTCTGTCCCCTTCAGTGGTTCCAGGGCCTGGGCCAGGCCTACCACCATGTCTGCATCAACCTGTGGAGTAGAACTCCATGGGCACAGCAGCCCCAGCCTGAGCTCCACCACCCACTCAAATCCTTCAGGCAGCCATCCACCTTGTTCCACAGAAGAGGAAGCAGAAACCTGAGTGGGAAGGCCCAGCCCGGTTGCTAGACTGTGCAGCTCTACCAGAGGATGCCTAGCGCCGGAAAACAGCCCTAGAGGTCTCACCAACCTGGGTGTAGATTCCAGCCCAGATCTGAGGGGTTAGGAAGTAGCACGAGTCCCCAGGCTTTGTGGCTGGCACTTTTAGGGACCCAGCCTCTGGTCTGACGATAGTGTTTATCATCTCCTTTATATGAGTGGGAAACTGCCTCTAGTATTCAAACTTGGATCTATGAGATAGTCATTGTTGCCTCCTGGCGGGTGGAAGCCCAATAAGACGGAGGCTGGGGGGAGGGGCAACGGGGCCACTCACAGGATCCCAGGGCCGGGGTGGGCGGCCATTGTGGTGCTGGAACTTGTGCAGTGCACGGAAGGCCTGATGCAGGCAGTGGGCACGGTGAACTTCCTGGGGACTCGGGGCCACCACACGGGGCTGGAGCAGGGCTGCATCCAAGGGCTTCTGCAGGGGGCAGTCGGCTCAGGTCCAGAACACTATGGACCCCTCGAGGCTCCCGAGCTCCCCCACCTCAGATGCACTTGCACTCACGTGGCTCACAGTCTTGGGTCTCTTGACCTCAGTGACAGCCCCGCCACGCAAGTAACAGGAGAAAGTTGTTGTGTCCCCAATCTCCAAGGTCCTGTCCTCTGGGGGAGATCCAGCCTAGTCAGTATGACCTCTGAACCTAAGTAGTTCCCCACACCCCATCCTGTCTTGCCTCAATGTCCTTGACCTTGCTCCACCCTGAGGAAGGTGAAGGAAAAACCTATCCCCAGGGACCAGGCTCTGTCCACCCCCAATGGGGGCTTGGGTGCTGAGCCTGGAGCTGGAGTTGCCTTGGCTTACCCCGCACGTGGATAGGCTGGGGAGCACAGCCGTTGAGCTCAACCATGCCCTCAATGCCTGAGAAAGTCACCAAATCCCCATCGCAGAAGTAGTGGGCATCAGCTTCTTTTCTCAGAGTGAGAATGCCAGGAGAGCCCTGGATAAGAGGTGGCTTGGCTCAGGGGTGCTTGTACCTGCCTTCCCCAGGCTCTGGCAGCCCCTCCTCAGTCAGCAGGTGAGTGCCCACACCTTAGCACCCACCTGGGAAATGTGCTGGATGGCAGCCGTCCGGGGTTCTGCCTCTGTAGGGTCCTGTACAGTGAAGTCCTCTCCAAAGTCACAGAACAACTGCCTGTGGTGGGTGGTAGTGGTCACTGAGATGTCTCAGTCGTTAACCACCTCAGTTGTGGTGAAGGGTGAGGGATACTAGGGCAAGCCCAGAGGACCAGAATCGGGAAAGGAATGCTGGGACAGGCTCGGAAAGCTGGGATTTGAGGGAGTTACTGGAGCAGGTTTGGAGGCTGGGGTGAAGGAAGCAGAAGGCTAGGACTGAGGACCAGAATTAAGAGGGGATGCTGGGACAGGCCTGGAGCTGGGTGGAGGGGCACTGGAGCAGGCCTGGAGCAGCACTGGGACCAGTTGCTGTCTGCAATGTGGCAGGCTAGACAGGCAATCTCACTCACCCCACAAGGCCCCTGGTGTCAGCTACCAGGAAGCAGACTCCAAGCTTGTGGCATAAGGAGCCCACCTTCAGTTGCTCCTCCAGCTTTGAGGCAGTCAGCACCACCACCTGGGTGGACCTTGTGATCAGCAGGGCCAAAACACTGTCCAGCCCACCCTGCAGCTAGGGGCTGGAGGAGGAGACTGGGCTGGGCTGGAGAGTGGGGCTGGGAGGGCACCTGGAAGTCCAGCAGCAGGTCCTCGGTGATGTCACCTGTGTGGATGCAGACCTGGACAGCTCCATTGAGCTTAGCCACAAGTTCTTGAGATGCCTCAGCCCTGCTCTTTTCCAAGTCCTGCTCTGAGAGGAAAAACTAGAGAAAGAGACAGTCTGGCTTGAGCAAGGAGATTTCTCTTGGGCCCTGCCCCCTACCCTGGTCTGAGAACCCATAGCCTCCCAGGACCCTCACCTGGGAAGCCAGGTCAGACCAGCAGGTGGGGTGGGGATCATGCAGAGTGAGGCTGCCCACACCCATCAGGACCAGGTTCTTGGCCACCTCAGCCCCCAAGCCCTGAAGGCCTGACAGCAGAACTTTGGCTTCCTGAATCCTCTGCATGGCTGGCAAGCCCAGCACATACCTGTGGATGGGAAGTAAGAGGGCAGACAATTGGAGATCAGAGGTCAGAAGGCCACCCCACTCCCCTCCCCACTCCCCACCTCGGGCCTCACATCTGCCGCGAGTACAGCTCTTCATCCAGCAACTTGGAGGTCTCTATACCGTCCATCCAGAGGCCTGAGGCTAGACAACAGGCTGCAATGCTTATAGATAAGGTCTGCGTGTAGGAGGCAGTGCCAGCAGAGGCCAGTGCCCAGCTGTGGCTAGTGCAAACAGGAACTAAGTCTAAGGAAGTGAGGGACGCTGCTGGTCACAGCTTTCTTCCTGGTTCCTCTGTCATTTCAGAGAAAGCAAAAGTGAAAGTTAAACTAGATTCTGAGCCCGCCCCTAGTCCTGCCTCCAGCCTGGACAGCCTAGCCTGGCAAAGATAAGTTCTGGCAGCTCTAGGGCATAGGCAAGTTGGGACAAAACTCCTGGGTCTGTTTGGCCTCTGGGAGAGCAGGTACCTCTCTTGAGGAAGCGGGCAGGGCCATAGGAGGGACCTATGTGGGCTGGATACAATGGTTTCCTGTGGCTTCCTAGGTGTCCCAAACCTCGGGCCCCTATCCTCCTCAGGTACCCCTGCCTAAATGGGCTTCCTGCCCCGAGTGCTGGTGGGAACTCCTTTGTCCTGAGGATTCACCTGGCCTGCTATCCACCACACAGAAACTTAGAGACCCTAGAGGGCAGAGCCAGTCTCATCCCACTGGCTGTGGGAGCTTATGAGTTTATGTTTTGTCCCACCTCCAGGGCCCAAACCACAGACCTGGGTGGAGCCTGACATCTTTGGGAGTGCCTGCTTGGCCCTGAGCCATCTCCTCAGAGAATAAGGATTCCCCCCTGCCCACAGCTGCCAGAGCAGGACAGATGGCAGCTGTAGGTAGCCAATCAGAGATGAGTCCCAGGACTCAAAGAGGGTGGTCAGTCTCTGAGTGCCAGCCCTGAGAGTGGAAGGCACAGGGCAACCATGATAACAGGTGTCCTTATTTTTCATTTAAACTTTTACTTTTTTTTTTTTTTTGTGAGGAGATCAGCCCTGTGCTAACATCTGCCAATCCTCCTCTTTTTTTTTTTTTTGCTGAGGAAGACTGGTCCTGGGCTAACATCCGTGCCCATCTTCCTCCACTTTATATGGGATGTCGCCACAGCACGGCTTGCCAAGCAGTGCATTGGTGCACGCCCAGGATCTGAACTGGCAAACCCCGGGCTGCCCCAGCGGAGCGCACACGCCCAACCACTTGCGCCACTGGGCTGGCCCCATCATTTAAACTTTTATTTTGACATAATTGTAGACTCAAAGGAAGTTGCAAAAATAGTACAGAGAGGTCCTGTGCGCCCTTTACCCACAGATGTGTCCTTTTGCCTTCTGGGAGCTTGGGGCCAGTTCTCTGGGGGATGGACCACAACCCCCCACAAAACTCCACTATAGCTAAACTAGGTGATGTCATAACTTCTTTTTTTAAATTGAGGTAAAATTCATATAACATTAAAATAACCATTTTAAAGTGTACAATTCAGTGGCATTTAGTGATTTCAGTGTTGTATAACCACCACCTCTCTCCCAGTTTCAAAATTTTTTCATAACCCACTGAAGAACATCCCCATCACATTAAATAATCACTACCCATCCCCCACCTCAATCCCCTGGCAAACACTCAACTATATTCTTTTTGTCTCTAGGGATTTGCCTATTCTGGATATTTCAGATAAAAGAATCATACAAAGTATGACCTTTGGTATCTGCTTTCTTTCACTTAGCATGATGTTTTTGACGTTCATCCAAATAGTAGCATGTATCAGTACTTCATTCCTTTTTATGGCTGAATAATATTCCATTGTTTGCATATATCACGATTTCTTTATCCGGTCACCTGTTGATGGACATTTGAGTTGTTTCCACCTTTTGGATATTATAAGCAGTGCTGCTGTGATCATTCTTGAACATGTATTTGAGTACTTGTTTTCAATTCTTTTGGGTATATACCTAGGAGTAGAATTGCTGAGTCATACGGTAATTCTATGTTTAATTTTTTGAGGACCAACAAACTGTTTTCCACCAGCAATGTACAAAACTTCTATTTCTCCACATTGTGGCCAAGACTGGTTTTCCCTTTTTAAAAAATTATACCCATCTTAGTGGATGTGAAGTGATAGGTAATTGTGGGGAGATTTTATCATTCAATAAACATTTATTGAGTGTGTCATAAGTACTAGGTACAGAAACAGGGGCCAGATTGTCTTTTTGTGACTGGCTTATTTCACTTAGCAAATTCCTCAAAGTCCATCCATGTTGTAGCATATTGCAGAATTTCCTTCCTTTTTAAGGCCAAGTAATATTCCATTGTATGTATATACCACATTTTGCTTATCCATTCATCCACCAATGGGCCCTTGGGTTGCTTCCACATTTTGGCTATTGTGAATAATGCTGCTGTGAACATGAGTGTACAAATATCTTTTTGAGATTCTGCTTCCAATCCTTTTGAATTCCAAAAGTGGAAGGGCTAGGTCATACGGTAATTCTATTTTTAATTTTTTGAGGAACCACCCTACTGTTTTTCCACAGCAGTTCTACCATTTGACGTGCCCACCAACAGTGCACAAGGGTTCCAATTTGCCTGAATCCTTACTAACACTTGTTTCCTGTTTTTTTGATAGTAGCCATTCTAATGGGTGTGAGATGGTATCTCATGGTAGTTTTGATTTACATTTCCCTGATGATCATTGATATTTAGCTTTATTGGTCATTCGAATATCTTCTTTAGAGAAATGTCTATTCAAGTTCTTTCCCCTTTTTCGAATTAAGTTGTTTTTTTGTTGTTCAGTTTTAAAAGTTCTCTATAGGGCCGGCCCCATGGCTTAGCGGTTAAGTGCGCACGCTCTGCTACTGGCGGCCCGGGTTCGGATCCCGGGTGCGCACCAATGCACTGCTTCTCCAGCCATGCTGAGGCCGCGTCCCACATACAGCAACTAGAAGGATGTCCAACTATGACATACAAGTATCTACTGGGGCTTTGGGGAAAAAAAAAAAAAAGGAGGAGGATTGGCAATAGATGTTAGCTCAGATCCGGTCTTCCTCAGCAAAAAGAGGAGGATTAGCATGGA